CAAAACACAGTCGACTCTGTCTTAACCCATACCTGTCATAACCCATAACCTGTAATAACCCATAGGCTTCCACCAACATGGTAGATAGTGAAAACCCATAAGTCTGCCGTATCCCATAACCCATAGCTTTTTGGAGGGTCATAACCCATAAAACAACCTATATTAGGAAGGTGCAGGTCTCCTTCCCACGAGAACCTGGACTATCTCGACCCTTAATTCTCGGTTCTCGTGGTATTTCAGAAGATAACCCTTACCAGATTCAAGATTCCGTATCTAAACGTTGTCATAAACGACGTCCGGCCTATACCGAATAGGCTGTCTGTCACGCTTACTAGGTAGTCACACAATGTCACACGCTCTGGTAACCCATAGTCTGCAAAAACCCATAACTTTTGGGTTCCACGACCCGTTATGGGTTAGGACAGAGTCGACTGTACAATCGTTCAAGCGTAATACAACCGTTGCCGCCGGCTCGCTGACGCATTCCGCTCTCCAAAGGCTTCATCGAGTTTGGAAATGTCCAGCATATACCCGAGTGTCTGCTATAATAGAGGCGGCTCGTGTCCTACATAGGCCCCGCACTCCTGTGTGCGGCAGCGTAGACGACGTTCCCTTAGCTTGATTTACGACCTTCACGCCTTTGCAGTGCGAGCGTTATGTCGGAAGGCTCGTCGACTACTCCTACTCGGCCTACGGACCAGCCACAGTCGGTGCAGGTCAAGGCAAAACCAGGCGAGAGCTGGAAGGCACAGGAAGAACATGTCCTCCCAAAGAACAGGCTAGGCATTGTGTTCTTTGGTTTGATGGCGTGCACGTTCTTGGCCGCCTTAGATCAGGTATGTTGAGCTTTTTTTGCTAGTTCCAAGTCTGATCATGTAAATGCTATGCAGACCATCGTAGCGACAGCATTACCTACCATTGTGCAGGACTTGGGCGGAGGGTCTGAGTATAGTTGGGTTGGAACGTACGTTTTCTTCCTACTCTCGCTGTTTTGAATTAATCGCAAAATTCAGCTCCTATCTTCTGGCTTCTGCCTGTCTGGGCCCCATCTATGGCAAAATGTCAGACATCGTCGGTGAGTGACCTTATGAGAGACCCGAATCTACACATGAGTTGAAACGAGGGCAGGTCGGAAACCGATACTGTACGGGTCTATCGTCATCTTCCTGGTGAGTTCATTCTCATATATACTTTACAACCTCTTATAACGAGGCGTCTCTCTGCAGATTATGTCCGCTCTGTGCGGGGCATCTCAGAGCATGACATGGCTCGTTGTATGCCGTGCCTTCCAGGGTATTGGAGGTGGCGGCATTATACAGATGGTTCAGATTACTATATCTGACATCGTCTCATTACAAGAGTGAGTCTGAACAGCATATATGAGATAGTAGCTGATTATTCGAACGCGTCGCAGCCGGGGTAAATACGGAGGTTTCATCGGAGCAACTTGGGGCATCGCCAGTGTGATCGGACCGCTTCTCGGCGGCGTGAGTGCCCCTCTTCACAGCAAGGCGTACTAACTCGCTGATGTTCGCCTATTATAGGTGTTTGCAGATCATGTATCGTGGAGATGGTATATCTGCTTCCTGATCAAGCAATCAAACACCCATTGTTGACTTCGCTATTTTAACGCAGGTGTTTCTTCATTAATCTGTGCGACTTCCAACTTCATCGCTAGAGGGCATAACTTAACCGCAGGATGCTATAGGCCTACTGGTGGTGTTGCCGGAGGAATATTATTTTTCTTCCTGCACCTTAACCCTCATCACGGGAAAACACTGAGGCAGCACGTCCGGGAGTTCGACTTCCTGGGGTTGATTTTGATCGTCGCTGGCGTTATCTGTCTTCTGATTGGCTTCAATCAGGGCGAAACAAACTGCAAGTTTGAGTTGCAATTGTTTGGTCAGAATCATCTCACACGTTCTACAGGGCAAGCAGCATCAACAATAGCTTTGCTCGTCGTAGGAGGCGTCCTCCTCCTTGCTGCGGCAATAAATGAAGGTTTCACGAAGCGTTCGCCAATTATTCCACCGCGTCTCTTTAGGGTACGTCTATGTGACGTCGCTGAAGAACACTCCCTCATATTCTACAGACGCGCACAACCGCTGTCATCCTTATCAGCTCTTTCATACATGCTCTCGCGTTCTTCGCCGGTAAGTTGTTACATTCTCATTCCCCTTTGTAACATTCAAATATACGCGTAGGCGCCTATTATCTTCCTCTCTACTATCAGGTCCTCGGATCCTCCGCTACGATGGCTGGAGTAAGGTAGTGATTTACGCATTTCCTCGATGTCATGCTCTAACTCTCGCCCCGTCGTGCAGGATGCTGCCATATTCACTAGGCAGCTCATTAGTATCGGCCATGGGAGGTGTCATTGTAACCCGTTGGGGGAGGTATCGCCCGATCATATGGGGCTCCTGGGTCATAATCACCCTTGGCTTTGGTCTTATGATTATGTTGGATAACAATTCCACGACGTGCGTTCCCCTTTGCGCTTGTGCATCGAACTTGATGATTGATCCTGCTCTGTATCGATAGGGCTGAGCAAGAAGTGTATCCGTTGGTTGCGGCTATCGGTGTAGGCTGTCTGTTCCAGGTTAGATGGTTTTCCCTGCATCCTCGCTTCGTCCAATGACCGTCCCTGTTTTCAGCCTCCGCTTATAGCTCTGCAAGCGGCGATGCCTCTCAAAGATATGGCGACTAGCACCTCGACCTTCATGTTCATCAGGTACGTGTCCACGTATCGGAGCTGATAAATTATTCTGACTGAATTGTAGGACTCTCGGCGGTACTATTGGTATCTCCATTGGTGAAGCTATAGTATCGAGCGTACGTTCCCCGTCTCGTCTCGTTGACGTGGTTGAGTCTGACGATACCTTGCAGGTTTTGCAACGACGAATCAGTAAAATACCCGGCATTAATCTTGACACTTCTCCATCTGCACTTAACCAAGAAGTCCGCCGACTAGGCGGCATATCTGTGAGTACTATGCCATCAATCTGTATAGCATGGCCGAGTGCTGAAACCTGGTACACAGGACCCAGCCACCCGGAACGCGGTCATCCATGCATATTCACGTGCTATAAGTACCGTCTGGCTGGTCAACACTCCCATTCTCGGCGTCGGCCTTATCATGAGTATGTGTGGTAATCCTTCGCCGGCATCCTGCTACTGACAGTAGATTCAGTTTTATTCATGAGACATTACTCGTTGAAACGAACGACAGTCAAAGGCGGACCCCCGGCAAGAACGGATCTTGAGGCCGGGCAAGAGAAAACCTTGGAGCAGGGGCAGACACAGGTGCCCGTAGGCCCAACAGGGTTCGAAACGGAAGACGAAAAGCAGAGGCCCGACGTCCGTGAGGAGGACAGTGCCCCGGCAGATAACACCGACTCCGCCACGGAGCGAACGCGGACAAGCACGATTCAAGAGCGGGATTCCGAAAAGCAATAGACAAGACTGCTGCACTTCGCCAGGGGGATATTGGCACAGGGATAACGGATGTTAATGATATAAAGTTACCATGAGTATAATGCTAACGCTTAGTATATGCTTCCTGTATGACGCGCGGCTTGCCAGACATTCAACCTTGCTTGAAGCAGAAAGAACTGTGCTGGACGCGCACGCGGATAAACACTATTTCGACATAAGCCAAGTACGACGCAGGCCTTGGGCGTCATGTATCGTTCGTTGTGCGTGTTTCTGTTAAGCTTGTAGGAGAACGCAGATCTGCTAGTACTGCTAGATGGCGGCTTTTAGAGCAACTATGCCGCAGTATTCAGGTTCTCCTTGTAAGTAACACCAGTCTTCATGGTCTGGTATACTAGGGGCGTCTATGATTCCCCACTCTAAGTACAAGTGAATTACAAGATGAGCTTACACGACCAACTATCCACATCGTGATGGATGCAAGTACTGTCCCAATAATGCTCGTACCGGCGTGTGTCAAGCGACCGGCTTTGTAGATTGCTCTGCTTCTCTCCGCCGTTTGTGGTGTCTACCACCCGTGAATATATCCTTGATCAATCCACCCCCCACTTCTGACAGAGCGTTCCGTGATTCCATAAGAGGGAGGAAGATACATATGAACGCTGAACAGAAGGCCCAAATGATGCCTATCACAACCCACGCCGTGAAAAACTTGACAGAGAAGGTATAGTGGGAGAAGAACAAAGGCAGGGGCACTATAAGGTCCATAACGGCCACCAGGCCGAAACTCGCGATGATGGCGAATTTCAGAGCGCTCTTCAGCTTGTCGGGGTGCTCGTCTTCGGAGAACCGCACCCCGGGTAAAGGCGCGTCATCTACCCCCTGCACTTTCGCCTCCCGGATCTGGACATCCCCCCGCTCCTTCTCCTTAAGCTGACGCTCCCTATCCTCTTCATCAACCGTTGATGAGGACGAGCTCGCACCCTGCTCCGGCACTCTATTGATCGCCCGAGTGATCTCCCAGTCGAAGTCGTCCGGATTCCACAGCGAGATTCCTACAGTGCAGATAGCTCCCATGCATATGGAAGCAAGGCTCCCCGCGACTGAGGCGTATTCTTGCCCCGTAGTCGCGACCGAGAGGACGCCGTCGTTGGTATACGCAGCGGTCAAAAGCCAGGCGAGTATCCCCGACGCGCAGCCCACGATAGCGCCGGTGATCGCAGCCACCTTAGTTTGCTTTTTCCAGCATATCGTGAGTGCCACGGGGACAACTGCTCCTCCAATGATTACGCCCATGAACAGGAATAACCACCCAAGGTCGATCCCGATCGCCTGCCAAACGGAGGCCATGGTTGCCATAACAAATGCGAAGACGACGATCATGATGTGGGAAACTTGGATCATCGTAGCCGGGGGTGCGTCTGGTCGAATATGGAGTTTGTAAACGTCGAAGGTCAGGATAGAACTCGTAGCAATCATCTCCGAACTTGCCGCGGATGTGACCGCCATGAACAGAATAATCAGCAGGGCTGCAGCTCCACCCTTCCCGAGAAGGGCAACGGCTGCGGTGGGCGCCGCTAATCCTGCGCTAACCTGGCTGGCACTCAGCGGGTTAGGATACGTCGGGAAGCTCGGGTGATCAGTGAGTGCCACGGCCGCTAATCCCAGGGTCGTAGCAAATGCGAAAGGAATCGCATACCACGCCAGTCCACCTAGCAGATATGCGCGGACAGCGGTAGAGGGCCTCGAGGCGATGGCCCTCTGCCAATAACCTTGATCTAGGAAGACAGTGCCCGATCCAGAGCAGAGCTGGATTACACCGAATATAAGGGCGAAATTTGACTTGAGCGTCATGTACGAGCCGTCTGTATTGCCCGCCACTGGTCGTTTAGCAGCAGCGATTTTTAGGAGATTGTACATCTCCCGAGGAGAGCCGATGAGTGGCGAAGATGAGTAGACTTCAAATATAAAATATAACATAACTAATGGATGAAAATTACGTCAGTCAATTCCAATGTACGCAGATAGCTTGCTCACTTATCATCAAAATAAATGTGTGCGTGTAATCACACAAGAATGTCGCTCGCAGACCGCCCAAAATGACATATATCGTGACTCCCACAGGGATAAGCCACACGGCGGCGTACACATTCATGCCGGTCAAGGCCGTTACGACTGCGCTACCACCGAGAAGAAGCTGGGATCCAACAAGAATATTGGTGATGAACGCGAATACCATGAAGACCCAGTGAGCGGTGGATCCGTAGCGAGTGTAGATGATCTCGAGGTAGGTGTGACAGCGGGGCGCATTTTGCTTCACTTTTACGCCTAGAATGGCGAAAAGGAGGATCTGCACCGTTGCCCCACTGGCGTACCAGAACGGCCCTGAAATCCCGTACTCATACGCCACTGTGCATGACTGCAGTAAGGTTGCGGCCCATGTCCACGCGGACACTATACCGCTCGCGATGAGACCAGGCTTCACGCTGCGAGAAGCAGTGTTGAATTCTTCGGACGTCTTCGTGGAATACTGGGTGTATCGGTTTTGTATTTGCGTCAAGATTGCCATGAAGCCAGCGAAGAAGAAGCCGACACCCAGTACGACGCCGTACCCGACTCCCTGAGGCAGGATCGCAGTCACTTCCGACATAGTTGCGAGATGAACTCCAGAGACTTTGGAAGAAGACGAACCAGGAAGTGACGCCTGGATACAGAGCTTCGGACATGGACAAGATATATGCACTGCTGCCGAGGGGCCCACGGTGCATCAGTGTCTCCCTTATCTTTTCGTTCGCGTTATCGCCCAGGGTCTCCGACGGCGCTCCAGTCCCGTAGTATATACCTTCAAATCCAATGGTTCCGGGACACGCCCGTCAAGCCGAGATACATTGAATCTGATTCAGTTTTCGTGACTGCTGCTGAAAGGAGAATATTATTGCAGACTTTCGACTTGGGATGGACGATACGTATCGATACGTAGCCACCGGGTAAAGGGCATCCGATGTATCCGAAAATAACCTGGAAAACGTTGGAGTCTGGGGGAAGCAGTTGGACAACCAAAATATCCATGTACTCACGATGATACGAGGAAACCTGACAGGGCACGATAACGCTGAGCAATCCGGAGTCCTGTTGAGGTATATGTCTGATAGCACTTTCCCGTCTTCCAGCAGACTCCTTCCCCGCCGCTATGAGAGGAGACAGGAAATACAGTCGTTTGCATATGAAACCGAAAATCGGGTTTCCGTGAGCATTGTTTGTTCGAGCCAAATATACCCATATGCAGTAATGCGAGATGGCTTCTTGTGACTGCGTGACTGTCAGATAGCATTCATCAACGTCTCGAACTTGAAGTATCGACTGGCTGGTACCATGGTTCACCTCACTCGACAACTACGTGAACGTATCATTGTCTGGCGCCATGAGCAAAACAAGACACTCTGAGTGATTTCTGAGCTTGCGGGATGCAGCATAAGCACAGTCTTCGAAGTTCTCCGACTCTACACGGAATACGGCACAGTCATCAACCCGAATGCTAGACCTCGAGGCCGGCCGCGCACTCTGGACATGCAGGATTGAACTTCGTGCGATCAGTTATTGAGGGAGAGCCTGCTATCTACCTTGATGAGCTACGAGATCGAGTCTACAACAGACTACACAGCACATGCAGTTTGTCAGCCTGAGGGCGGGCTGCAGTCTACAGAGTCACACAGTCACAAGAAGCCATCTCGCATTACTGC